GCGTTTTTCTGTGTTCGTTACAGTATATGTTTTACATTGTGTGTACATGTACAGTTTTGTGTGTGTTTTCAACATGTCAGGAGTGAAACGTAAACACGTTACTCTTTCATTAAATGAAAAATTAGCAGTGCTACAAAGACTGGACAAAGGGGAAGATTGTTTATTTTACTTTTTTCTGATAATCCGACCTTTTTTGCATTCCGACCATACCCCCAGTCCCAAAGGTGACGGATTAGAGGGGTTCTACTGTATGTAGAGAAAGACATTCATTCAAATAAAGAAAAATATTTGAAAATTTCAGGGAGTTTGGTCTTCAGTGTCTTTGATAAGAATAATTCCTGCAACAAAGCTTACATTATTATTCAAATGAGTCCATTTGATTTCATGACTATAATATCCCAAGTAAAACATTTATTACATACAATGATTTTACACTAAGTTTAGTTAGTACAACTAAAATTTCTCTCAAATAATACTTTCACTAATTTTAAGAAAAGCCATGGTAATTAGACCTGTAATAAAGTTTCAAGAATGAAAACTCATTACAAACAAGTATTGCAGATCTGTCTTCTACAAGTCAAAGTATCCATTTCAGGAAATGAAATATTCATAAGTTAGAGAAGATTCAAGGCATTCATTTGATGATGAAATTTATGTCTACAGTTGATGTTGAATTTTACAAAATAATTCTGAAGCAGAGGATTTTCTGAATCTAATATTTAAAGCTCAAACCAAAATTTCTGTCTGTGTATACCATAAGTTATATTGCTATATAAACAATAATTTATTTGTAACTGTGAAATAAATGGTTAATGCACTATTACAACAACAAAATATTCTTCTTTTCGAAAATAATCTCTTTTCTATAACAGTAATAATTAATCCTGTATTCACTTCAAACTTCAAATTCCTTGCTGTAAAACTGTATTCAAGTCTGACAGAACCCTCTAGTCCTCACCTCAATGTGTTTAATATGATAGTTTTTTGTAGTGTATGTGGTATGATACCTGTTTAAGATAGAACTACTGACACACTAAGTACATCATCCTTCTTTACAGGCACTTTATTTAATGGATAAGTTCTAATTATCATCATAATTATTAAAAGTGCATAACAGAAGCAAATTGATTAATTTATTAACTTTCCGTTTATGTTAAGTAGTCAGAATTTTATCTAGTTTTTCAAATTAATTATTATTTACATTTTTCTTTATATTATCTTTAATACATTTATGCCTAAGAGTCAAAATTCTGATTAACATTTATTTTTAGCTATGCTTAACTAGTTATATATATATAATAATTAATAATACACACACACACACACAATTTATACATTATTATTTATGAAGAATAGATGAAATTAAAAATAATACACACCTACAACCATTAATGTAAACTCAAATCCTCTTTTGACTGCTTTACGATAGACTTGATTTGGGAGATTGGCAAAACCAACATAACCATCTGATTCCTTTGAATGTGACATGTCTTTTACAATTTCTTTTTCTTTATTGAATATAGATTCTTTTAACGTCACCGAATTCGTTGTGCTTGTAGTTGTTGTAGTTGTATTAGATGTAATACTAGTAGAAACTGGTTGCCCATCCTGACGAAAGAACAACTCTCTCTTTGCAGACAACTGAAATAAAATTTTTGGAACAAAATTTATATAAAATAAAAATTTTTTAAAAAATAATTTACAATATCTAAACAATATAATAATCTTAAACTGAAATTTTGAACACAACAATTTAGACAACTAAACTGCAATGGCAGACTTTCATTGAATGTATGCGAAAATTTTTCAAAGAACAACCTCTGCTGAGATTAATAACATAAGTTTTGTCATATGCAGTCTGTACAGTACAAGTAAATATTTAAAAAAACCTTGTAAACATCCTCACTTTCTTTCTGTTGTTAACATCAGCAACAGTCCAAATCAGAATTCTTATAAAAGGAGATGACCTTTCAACATTAAACACCATCAGCCAAGGTTTCAAATTTTTACCTTTATGTATTTTATTGTGAAATTGGCTAATTTACCAGAGGATACTGTTTCAATTTAAATCATGTTATGTGAGCATAGTCTCATAAAAACATCATCTCCGAATATAAGAATTCTGTTTTGGACTGTCACTGGTGTTAATGAAAAGAAAGTGAAGACGTTATTTAATTTATGTAGTCTGTTTTAATCAGAAGACAAAGACTGATTATTTGATATTTTGAAGTTTATTATTATAAAATTAAAAATCATATCAACTAAATGTCAATATCTATTGAGACAGTTAAAATTGCATAACTTTTTAATTTGATGCCTTGATGAAAACAAAGTAAACACTTTCAAATTGAATGTTTTTTAGAATATTTATTTAGAAATAGTTTTAAAATAAAAGTTAATCTACTGATAGATATCAAAAATGTCTTCTGATATTGTCTAATTATAACAGGATGCCTACTAATAGTCAAAACTAAAATTAAATACTGAAATATTCTGTAAGTGTAATCAGAAAATTTTGAAAATCATTGGAGTCAATTTACAAATTCTTATAGAAAATACTATTTCACATTAAATAAAACCTACAAAGTTTAAGCATAAAAGAGTAATTGTAATATTTTAATCTAAATAATTGATATTTTGCTATTATACTTTGACATTAAGCCATTTGAATGAATTTCTAATTTTTAAAATAAATATTTGAAATAAAAACTAAGAAATATTTTGCAGGATCTCATCAATTAAGAGTAGAGAGAAAGTTGTGAATCTAAGCCATTATTAACTTATTATTACAAACAAGACAGATATTTTGTGAGTACAATACATATTTAATTAATGTAATAGTATCTGTCAAAAAGGAAAGCTTTTGCATGGACCTTTCAAGGTCCTGAAAAGTACTCTGTAAAGCCATAGGTTCCAATAACTGATTAAAAAAAGTTAATTATCTTTTTCTAATTTCAACCAAAACTGAAATATTTGGATAAAATTATATGACATCACACTAAACATCCAATAAGAATGAAATATTACAATTATAACTACAGTTTAAAATTGTGTAAAATATTTTTTAAAAAATTACCTCAATAAATATAAAAAACTACTTTATTATAACAAATTATAATAGTCTTATTAGACTATTTTATTTATTCATTGAAGTCTGGCGAGAGAGAGAGAGAGAGAGAGAGATTTCGTAAATGTGAAAAAAAACATTTACGTCTAGGATTATTTCATTAAATATTTAAACATTAAATTATTTTATTGAATAACTAAAAATTTTCTTAAATTTTGTAAATACTGTACAATATTATGTTTACAATTCAAATATGGAATTCATCAATCCTAAATTTTTATCCAAGGAACCAGAAACAAGTATAGGTATGTGGAAATTGCTACTCACTGTATTCATATCCATTGCTGGATCTTTGGGTTTTTAATCTATAATAATCAAACATTACTTTACTGGCCTGTTATAAAAGCATTTCAAAATATTTCTCAAGATATCATCATCTTATATTAAATATCACCCTTCAGTTAGTGGTTAGGTTAAGAGATGCTACATTTAAGTTCTAAAATAATTAAAGTCAAAGAACACATTAAGTATTTTTTCATTCAACAGTATTTGTTTTATCTATAATAAAAATGTCATGCAAATATACAAAAGCTGTAACCTAAAAGAAGCTGCATTGAATCAAGACTGTGTTGTTTATTCAATCTATATCAAGAGAGTCATATTCATATAAACTGGTGGCTTTCAGATTCACAGTCAAAGAGTCACACATCTCCAACAGTAAAGACAAAATATTTGAACTAAATTACATCAAAAAAGTTACTTTAAAACATGGCTATCCTTCATCATTATCAAGAAACTTGTCAAACAATACTCCTATTGACTTCCAAAATCAAAGACCAATGGTATTTTCAAATCATTGGGGTACATCAAAATTACAAAGAATTAGAAAGATTGAATAATATCTCTATTGCATTTAGATGCAACCCAAATATATTCTTCGATTAGAAATTCTAAAGATCCTCTAAGTGACCTACAACTCCCAGGATATACACTATTCCTGTTACAGACACAGGGATGGTCAGAATTTGCAGTAAACAGCACCCTGACCCACCCACTCAATCAATAATCAAAAAAAGCATTTAGCATCATTGGAAAAAAGTCAGAACATTACAGCACTGACTGTATTTGCAATGAATCAGCAGGTTCAAGTGTATGTTACCAGTGTCAAACTTTCACATTGCATGGGCCAATTAAATCAACTCAAATATCTAGAGAAATTGACAGAACATCAATCAATTTTAAGGATGATGACCATACTTTCGAAAATATGTTATCATTACTTGAGAAGTCAGTTTTTAATTTTTTTTAAATTTGTCTGTTCCAAATTTTTGTTCTTTAGAATATTTCTGTAACCTGATGATGGTTTCTTAAGACAATCAAAAACATTCATTTTACATTTTCAAGCTGGAGTTTAAGTGTTTGGTGGACATCATATATTGCAAGTGTCATTCATGGTTAAACAAGACTTATTTCTACAAACCAAAATATGTATAAACTACATCAATTTTTCGAAATACTCTCCATCTGTACGTAGAATCCTGATACACCTTTCTTGTAGAAAGAAGTGAGATGCCATTGAAGCCAGCATAGGACAACTTGCTGAAATTCATCATCTACCTGGAATTTTGTTCCTCCCAGGTACTCTTTAAGAGGCCCAAACAAATGATAATTGCTGGGAGCTAAATCTGGACTGTAAAGGGCATAAGGAATGAGGCAACACCTCACAGCCCATTTTGGCCAGAGTTGATGTTGTCAAATTGTGTGTGTGGTCAGGCATTGTCATGAAGAAAAAAATCTCTCCCCCAGACAACATTCCAGGTCTTTTGTTGCAAATGGCATTTTGTACGGCACCCGTAATCAATTTGGTGTAATACTGGGCATTAATTGTGGGCCTTTCTCTAGAAAATCCACATGAATAACACCTCGCACGTCCCAGAAGATAGTTTCCATGGTCTTTCTGACAGACGAAGCATTTTGCTCTTCTTGGGTGGTGGGAACCCATGATGCCTCCATTCCATGCTGCTTCTTTTCGTTTCAGGGGTGAAGTAGTGTATCCATGTTTCATCACATGTGATGATTGATTGCAAGAATGCATCACCTTCAATATGAAACTAATTCAGAAGCTGCTCACATGTCTCCTTAAGTACCCATTTCTGATCACATGTCAGCTGTCAGGGAACCCATCTGGCAGACATCTTGCAGAACAGTAAGTGCTTGTGGATGATTTTCTCAACAGTACAGACACTGGTGGATACTTTGTCTGCAATGTGTCTCATGTTGGTTACTCACTGGTTCTCCAAGATAACTTGCTCAACTTGTGCAATATTCACCGATGTTAACGCAGTCAGATGAACATGTCCACGTGCTTTGTTTATCACCAGCACTCGTCCTTCACCAAATTGTCAACACCATTTGTACACTCTTGCCCACGACAGTGTTTGTTCCCCCATACTGTGCATCCAATCTTCTCAAAACTTCAGCAGGTTTAACTTTTTCCTTCATGAGAAATTTGATTACGCACCACTGTTCCACCATTATTGACACATTACCTTCTGCCATGATTGCTAAAACTGCTAAGCAGGTGCAAAATACATTATGCTTGCTATCGAAATCTTGAGATGGATAATGCTACTTTCTCTCCAGGTTTTATTGTGCTACAATTATTCTTCGAAATTATAGGCCCAAAGTCTCATTTAACCTTGAACAACCCTTGTATAATCCAGTTTCTAAGCTGTTTTATTCATAAAAAAATTTATCTTCCAAACAAAATGAATTCCTTTCTCTGACATTTTAATTTTAAAAAACTAAAACAAATCTAAATGAACAATCAAGATAATATGCAGGATCATAAAGAATTGTAAAGCTACACTTGTCCAAAAAACAAAAATATATCTAACATCTAGAACAGCAATAGCTGGCTTTGTACAATAAATCCTCATTCTCATGCATCAAAGAACATATTCATAAAATTCTTTAGCAGTTTGATTCTCAAATAAATACAGTGAGTGATCGATTAATGAACAGTTCAGACAATGAACATGTTTGCAAAAGATTTTTATGTTCAGACAACGAACAGCTCACAGAACAAACAAAAGAAGTGATGTAAAATAGTGCATATCAATTGGTTTTCACAATTTGAAACCTTTCGACACTAATGCTCGAGACATCGACACTATTGCTCAACCTGATACCGATTGGATAGTATTCCTCCAAACTTTGAAACTCTCCCTTGTAATTCTAGCCTTTTGTTTTCCTTTCTGACAAAGAATTTTTTTAGTCCCCATGAGACTATTGTGTGGGCATTCAGTAAGTTTTGTGTCAGTTTATATTTTCAAAAATCGAGAGCTTAACTGTCCCATCAGATATTCATTAATGCTTTACACCAAATTTTGAATTTCATCTAGTCCTCACATTTACATAATTTTTTTGTGTGCTAGTTGATCTTTGTTCTCTAAATTTTTGTAAGTGCTTTTCTGAACTTTCTATTTAAAAAAGAAACTGATAATATTATGAAGCCTAAAGAGTGGAGTTTCAAGAACTGTGCCCACCATAGAAACCAAATGAGATAATAGTAGAGAGTGGTCAGAAGTTGTCTGATGTTGCTAAGCAGTATGGCTTAAACAGGTCTACAGTAGGCACAATCTAAGCTATGGAAGATATAATCAAGATGATTTAAGCAGCTAAAGGAGTAATGAAAATCATATCTGAGAAACAAAGAACATTGAAGAGCTCATAATAGAACCTGAGAATGATCTGACGACAAAAGAACTCCAAGAACTCTTAAATGAAGAACACAAAGAAACTCAACAAGATGATGTGTTTTCTTCTGAAAAAGAGGACAATGAAAGAGGACCAATGCTGACATCTGCTATTAAAGATTTTTTGAAGAAGTGTGAGGATGTCAGAACAGCGGTCTTAGAATGGCATCCAAACCAGGTTGAGGTTAATAGGCTTGGAGATCTCTACAATGACAATGCTTTTAATTACTTCTGAAAAATCCTGAAGAGAGAAAAGTAATTGACATTGCACAGAGATTCTTTAAGACCACAAATGGAAAAAAACATCACCAATGAAAATGCAAACTATGTATATATGTATTTTTATTATTACACATAAATTAACATAGTAAGAAAATATATAATTTTTTTATTTTTTGGGGTCTCCAGAACGATTTAATCAAATTTCCATAAAAATCTGGTAAATCGATAATCAGTTAACGAACAATTCAGGTAGTGAACACTTTCTTGGACCAGATTATGTTCGTTAACTGATGAACCACTATATATGAAAAATGAGCCAGAAGTAATGTCGATAATTTTTTACTCTAAAAAGAGTTTAAAAAATATCAACATTACTTTGATTCACATCTGTGCTTTCATCTTTCTTGGAGAACTAGAAATGTAGAAATCTACTTTGCATTTCTACATTTTATCTATTCCTGAGTCATATTTTAGCAAGGTTTTATCCTCTGTTACAAGTTTATTAATGAATTCATCACAATTTTCTTAAGTTTGTAACAAATCTTGACAAATCACTAACTATTGATTCTTTTGACTAGAAGATCTCAAAGAACAAACTCTGTACATAACTCTTCTTTTTAACTCCTCCGTAACAGTTTGCAATTTTTCCTAAGTATTCCTGTCAAGCTTCCAAAGGTAGAGAGAGATTTATCATTATTATGCAAATATTAAGTTTTGTTCACATTTCTGCTCATTTGAAAATAGAAAGTTTCCCATTTTCTTGTCATCTCTAATATTTTTATAACCTTTTTAAATTATAAAAACCATGTAAAAATTTGTTATTGGTAAGATATTTTCTCTATAAATTTGCTTTATCAACTGTTAAATTAAGGAAAATGTTAACTTAAAATTTGATGTTACATTGCCATAAATCATTCATTCATGACGGAGCAACAGAGGAAGCAGTCATTTTATGATCAGTTTACTTGCCAAAGTCATTTTTGTAAAAAAGATTTTTTAAACTTTCATAATTTAAGAAATTAGAATAAATGTTATTTCATTTTTTAAAAATTTAGTTAGTTTCTCGGTTGCACCTTGTATGAAACTATTTTCACATCAAAATTTCTTTTATAGATGATATCAGCAATACACGTAAGTAAATAAGCATATTAAAATAAGCATCCCTGAAATGAAGTGTAAATTTAACAAGTTTTAGCCTGTTCCAACAACAATTTTTTTATTTAACATTTTTGGCTAACATAGTAACCATCCTCAGAATTGAACATTCATGTAAGACAATTTTTTAAATTTTAACATTCAAAGAAAAGTTCTAAATATGAATCTAAGATAAATAACATAACATATAAAAAATAATAAAAATTAGTTTTTGGTTTTTATTTTGTCTTGGTTTATAACATATTTTTATGCTGTAGATAAACAAGCAGCATCCTTATGAATTCTTAATACTATATTTGTATATAGTTATTTTTTATAGTTTTTCTGGTGTGTTGGTTGCTGATGGTTTTTAAGTGTGTAGCATCCTTGAAGTGTGGGTATATTCCTGAGAATATATAGCTGTGTTGTGGTGCTTTTCTCTAGTATATTGTACTGATGCTCTCTTAGCCTGGTGGAAAAATGTGTACTGTATGTATTTGCTGAGGGTAAACAGTAAACTAGACGTAGAGTAAACAGCATTTGCTACACTTCTGGGGCTGTGGTAAGATCAACTATGTTCTTGTCATTATGCAATAAGCCTAATAACAAGGACAGTCAATATTACAAAAAAACAATTTGTGTCAACAAGAAAAAGTAACTACATACAAACATAATATTAAGAATTCTTTTTGTATTTCATTTTAGTTATTTATCATCAATTCATATTTAGAACACTTCTAAGAATGTTAAAATTTAAAAGAATTTTCTTACAAGAATGTTCAATCCTGAAAATGGCCACTAAGTTACCTGAAAGCATTAGATAATTACAAATCTGTTGCTGGAACAAGCTAGAACTCTTGAAATAATACAAACAACTAAGAAAGAAATTGTCCAGTAAGTAGCATTAAAAGGAGGAGATTAGTTAATATACCTTTATTCCATTCTAGTGAAGTGAACATCTCTATAAGTATAAACAAAACATTTTTTAGCTGTTATAATTATTTAGTGTAATTTTGATCATTTAAATTGCTTAATAATATTTGTTATAAAAAAGCAATCATCTTAGTTATTTTATTATGGGAATTATAACAGGTATTAAACATTTGAATATAAAAGTAATTAATACATTAAAAAAATTGAAAAACTCAAAGAAATATACAGTGGGTGATTGGTTAACGAATATAATCCGTCCCAAGACTTTGTTCGCTATCTGAATTGTTCATTAACCGATTATCAATTTACCATAGGTTTTAATGGAAATTTAAATAATTCGTTCTGGAGACCCCCAAAAATAAAAAATACATACTTTTTTACTACGTTTATTTATATGTAATAATAAAAATACACAAATACACAGTCTTGCATCCTCCCACTTCTTCAAAGGATCTTTAATTAATTAAATTAATAACAGATATTGGTATTAATTCTTTTTTTCAGAAGAAAGCGTATCTCACCGAGTTTCTTGGTGTTCTTCATTCAAGAGTTCTTGGTGTTCTTCTGTTATCAGATCCATTTCAGGTTCCATTATGAACTCTTCAATGTTCTTTATTTCTCAGATGTGATTTTTGTTACTCGTTTAGCTGCTTGAGTCTTCTTGATTATACAGTATTTTTCTTAAATAAGATTGAACTGCGGCCTACTGTAGACCTATTCACACCATACTGCCCAGAAACATTAGGCATCTTCTGCCCACTCTCTACCTTTGCTATTACTCTCTCACCTTTCAAAAAGAAAAATAGATGAAAAACTTAACGAGTGCCTATCTGACAGTCTCGCGAATACATAAAAGAATCGTTTTTGTCAGAAAAATAAAAGGCTGGAATTTCAAGGAAGAGTTTCAAAGTTTGGAGGAATACTATCCGATCGGTATATACTGGCTTGAACATCAATGTCGACGTCTTCTACACTCCAAAAAGTTTCGAATTGTTGCCCGAAGACAAGGGAAGACCAATCGGTATTCATTATTTTACATCACTACTTCTTGTGTTTGTTCTGTGGGGTGTTCGTTATCTGATCTGTTCGTTAACTGATCACCCACTGAACTTAATATAAATTTATTTGAATCAGTAAAAAGAATCTACTACTAAANCAACGAACACCCTGGTTTAATGACCAAATCAGTTAACAAACTTTTAGTTTGCAAATATTTTGTCTCAGATAACAGATGAAATTCGAATAACAAACGTAGCAGGTTTTTGTGTCAAATTTTAGTTGCTGTTAGGCATGCGTGAGTTAAGCATTGCTTTTCTGAGTGTTTGTGCTAATGGATAAATTACATTTGCATTAATTTCTATGGAAAAAATTGCTTCGATTAATGAACAGAATTAAGTTCATTAATCGGGTTCGCTGTACAGGTTGCAGTTTATGTACTGAATCTTGTAAGCATAGCTCAATTGTAATACTTTGTTTAGTAAATTTTTTTTAAAATACAAACTATAAATAATTCCACATTTTTTACTGTTTATAATAAAGGTACATACATTTACTGCCATGAGTAAGGTATTATAAATGAATTCATACTGACATTCTAAATCAAATAATTTAAGTTATTGTTTTTGAATTATCACATTTAATGTCATATTAAATACTACTTACTAATTAATGTTTAAAACAAGATTTTCTTTAAGAAATATAATGAAAAATAATAATATATTTAAGTTATGCTATTTTTAAAATTAAGTTGAAATTAGAAACAAACTTCATAAATAAACATAAAACTTAATCCTGTTTATTTTTGGAATTAAAACATTTATTATACTTCTAAAACAAGGCTAAAATTAGTTTATTATTGATTAAAAAGTAAATGCTTAATAAAAAAAAAATTACCATTTAGAATTATCAACAGCATCTCCAAAACCTGGAGTGTCCACAACAGTTAGAAGTAAATTTACACCATTTTCCTTAAGCAGCACCTTTGTTGTTTCAATCTATAAATAATTTTACATAGTTCAACACTAATACAATTTTTTTTTTTAAATAATTTTCAGCAAGTATTTAATGCAATAATGTAACTTATAAAATATTTAAAATTTTAAGAAACTTCAAGAAAAAGTTAAAACATTTAGAATCTCACTACTATATTTTTACAAAATAAAGTAATTTAATCTGAATGATTCTGTGCACTTTTCATGTCATCAATGTTGGCATTACCCACTAAGTTAATAGTTTCACTAATGTTTTAGGTAAAAGGAACAGAGATTGTTTTAAAGAGAAAATTTATGCAAACTATTAAATAATATGCACAATCTATCAATAGTTCATTCATGAAATATTTATAGCAAAAGTTAAAATCAATTATAAAACACATTTATATTGCTATTACACATCCAAAAATTCACATTCTAGAAATTTGATTCTTATTAACATTGTATAGTAGTAAATCAGCATCATATTTATTATTTTAAATAAATCAGTAATTATACAGTAAAACTTATCTAACTTGAAGCTCCAAAAGACAGGTAAAACTTCGAGTTAGAGAACAAGAGTAAAAATGCCAATTCTGAATAGATTTGTATTTTTATCCCTCTTGCATTATATAAAGAATCTTTGGAAATTTTTTTTGTTTTAAACAGCACATGTAACACCTTTCAGCAAACTGTTTAATGTAACTAATAGAACTGAACAGTTTTGCAGGTCCTCTTGCTTTGAACTGGAATGTTGTCTGGAAATTGGTGTTGGAGAACAGATACAATGAACTGTCTGAAAATTTCATGAAAATCCAATAATTAGGATCACTTTGTATAAAATAAATAATAAAATTTTCATTAGGGAAGTTGAAATTAACATAAATCAGTGTTGAGGACATGAAAAACTTCGACTTGGAGAAAATTCAAGTTGGAGATGTTATGTGCTATTCCAGTGAGACCTACAAAGTGCTTCATTTTCTTTGAGATAAAGAAATATTCGAGTTACAGACATTTAAGTTAAAGAAGTTTTACTCTATTTGAATTTTTAAGCAATTTAATTTTTAAAGAAAACAAAAGGGTATTATTGATTAAGTATAATCTAACCTGAACAGTTTTTTTAATGCGATGTGAAGGTCCTGGATATTCATTGGAATATATGTCTGTCAAAAATACAGAATTGATGAGAGTTGACTTTCCTAGTCCAGATTCACCTAAAAGATCATAATTTTTACATTTTTTAAAATTTAACTTTTATAAATGTAAGAAAAAAACTCTCTCAATACAATCATTTCATAAAAATAAAAGATATTGTTATAAGTATGTTAAATAAATTTATAATTTAAAATAATATCAATGCATTTATTATTATTGTGGTGGTGATAAAAATATGATAATGATAACAAATGCTAGTCAAAAGGTAAAACAATGCTATTAAAAACAACTGTTTTATATGTTTGTGCTCTGCCATTACATGTATATGTAATTATAAAGTTTCAGTGCGCTCTCATCTCAACAAGGTGGTGGCGAGTGAGAGGATTTAATAATATATAAGCATAATATATAAGATTTAATAAGTTAGCAGAATATATCCTACTCAGCTTATATAATAATGTTTATGCTATTCCAGATCATGGTCAAGGCATAACTACAGGAGGGAACAAGTTGTTTTATGTGCTCTTTCTGTATGTATGTGTTTAAGAATTTTCTGACAAATCAAAAAGGCAAGAACCAGAGGGTTCTATCTACATTTTTTTCACTATTTTATTTTAATTTGTTGTACAGACAATCACTTCCTATAAATGCAGAGTTTTGGCATTTTAGTGGTAGAAGAAGAGTTTTTTAGCGTGAAACTTTGATTTTATCTATAAAAGTAGGAAAAACTCAGAACCAAAAGATTCTATGTCATGGTTGTCCTTTAATTATGCCAACAACAGGGGAGAGATAAGCCATTCTTTTAATTTTGTGTTTAGCTAACTAATTTAATGTTTACATTGAAAAGTAAAGGAAAAAATTCATAGATGACTGTTATAATACTGGACAATCAGAATATGCTCAAATGTAAACAATTAGAAAATTAAAAATGTTTGAAGAAAATAATTCTAGAAATCCAAAATTGTAAGTGTCATGGTTAAAAGTTGAAAAACTCAGAAGATTCTGAACGCATTTTTGAAGCCTGTGGTGTGCCTCAAAATAAAAATTTCTTAACTTCATTTGCTTTAACTCTATTCCACCAAACAAACTGTTGCATAACAACATTTTTAACTGAAGGGAATTGTCATTCAGGAATTTGAATGTACAGTAGAACCCCTATAGCCCGCCCTCAGCGAGTCCATCACTCCGGTTAATCCGACCGTGGTTGGAGTCGAGAAACTTGTCCCGACTCGTCAGTGACTCACCATCCGTGGTGTTTTTCTGTGTTCGTTACAGTATATGTTTTACATTGTGTGTACATGTACAGTTTTGTGTGTGTTTTCAACATGTCATGAGTGAAACCTAAATACGTTACTCTTTCATTAAATGAAAAATTAGCAGTGCGACAAAGACTGGACAAAGGAGAAGATTGTTTATTTTACTTTTTTCTGATAATCTGACCTTTTTTGCANACACCAGAAGACATTAAGCCATGCCGCTTGTCTTGTATGGCACGGCGGAGTTTTCTGAAGGTCACAATAAGCATCAGAATTGATTGTTGTGCCTCTTGGCATAAAATCCACTAACAAAGTCCCTTTCCTGTCCCAAAAGACAGTTATCATGATCTTTTGTGCTGGAATTGAATAACAGATCGTATCTTGCAGTCGGCAGGTAACTCAATTTTCTTAAACATTATAAACTTCTACAATTCATCACACAGACAGACAATATGGCTGCCAATGGCATCTAAACACACACAAAGCATGCTGAAAGCAGATGCTCATACACATTGCTGCAATCGCACGTCATTCTCACTTTCATTCACAAATGGACCTTATTTAAAAAATAGCCCCCGTACTATACCTTAACATTGAATATTTAATACTGTAGATTGTAATATCTTTTTTCTTTAACAAATTTAAAATTTAAATTTTTAATACTCACTGTTCTTTTAAAAAAAGAACATTCTTCAGGTGTTAACGTATCTGCTTTTGCAATAAGTGGAATAATATTAACTTTATCATGTAACTGTTTCATAAATTCAATATCTAAAGGCTTGAGTCTGAAATCAAATGTACAATAAAGAATGTATAATACAATTTTAGAAAAAAAAGAAAAAATTAATATTTGACAAACAAAAACTTACCCATGCCCAGAAGGTGCAATGAAATAAAGGCAACAGTGAACACGAGTATCAGGAATAGTTGTTCTGTTAACTCTAGATTCTGCATTAAGGTATTCTTCACATTTACTCTCTATAAAATCAACTATAGGTTGCCAACTGAAAATATAGTTTTAATAATTCTAAACAGATTGCAAATATACACACACAATTTAAATCAATATATTAGCCAAATCATTTAACTCAATGTTCTCCTAGAATCATTTGAATGGGTATGTCACCCATTCAAAACATTCTATGAGAACATTCCATGATTTTACTAACTACCCAGTTAATGTGATGAATTTAAGTGTTAAATGAAAAAATAAAAAATTTTATATTATAATAAAGCACCATTCCCAACTGCAGAAAAATAATGTGAAGACAAAAATTTTCCATTCATGTATCACAGCATGCCTAGAAAATCATTTTAAAAATGTTTAATTTCTGTAGTGTGTCAATAGCCAACTGAAACCAAGAATGCTTGTGATATTGATAGATCAATATGACAAACACAATAAAACATTAAATATTGATATCTTTAAGACAAACATAACAGTATATTAGAAAAATCTGAAATTTTAAAAACAATGCACAAACTACGAAGAATTGTGTATGTGATGTTAAGGATAGCAAATTATTTGCTAATCATATTATTGGAATTTTGATGTCATTCCAGCATCATCAATAGTAGATATTTGAATTTAGTTTTCTGTATATCAGATTATATATTTTTGGAAAATGGAATCAACACACAGAAATTTTTCAAAAAGTAAAAACTAGGTTTTTCTGCATTTGAAAATATAAAATCTTTTATTACTGTTCCTGTGATAGTTTTTCTGCAGTAATTTGGCTATAAGTGAGAACTAAGTTTTGCTGCCAGTGTATAAATCAGTAATTATGCATTTATTAAATTATGCTTTAATGAACAGAAAGTTAGGCCTGAAAACAACTAGTTATTTAACCAAATCCAAAGAGTAGTTATTTAACTACCATAACTTACTAGCATCAAAATGCCCCTTACATACAAGTTACTGTGCCAAATTTTGTTTCTTAATCTTTATTTTATCCTGAGATATTAAACAAAATAGATGTCAACATACACACACATTTCCAGTAACAGTTTTTTGAGTTCAGAGGTGTCAAAGACATCATGATTCCAAAATCCTGGAGGGTGAAATGTAACTCATGTTATGCTAAAACAGCCAGGAAAGTAAAAAACAAAACTGATAAGAGAAGTAGTAAAGGCATCAAACTCAAAATACAATTATTAATTATCAACAGAGATTGACTGGTTCATATATTGTGGGATTAATTTCTTTACAGTCTTTCAAATACTCTTTCATTATAAACTTTGTTTTCGTGTATGTTTGTACATGCAACCCTATTCTCTCTAAAGAGTTTATATTTACAAATAATAAAATATTTTATAATATTGCACAGTGTATTCTTCTCTTTAACCCAGTTATTCCTTCATTCCACTTTACAAATAAGAACTTCTGGAGAAACATTGTCATTCAAATTATTAAGCTATATATATATATATATATATGTTACTGTGAATGACCAATATCTGGCGAATGTCGAGATTCTCCGGTGAATGTCAGCATTCACACAGTCGTTTCGTATATGTAGGAAATATTTGCTAAATATCATTATTTCTCACTTACACCGGCAAATGTCGACATTCAGCATGCACTGATGGTGAATGTTGAATAAAAATATTTTTATTACGTTAAGACAAAAATGCAACTTTTTAATATGTCAAAATAGGAGAAAGCTTAAGTAACAGCACAT